GGATGGATGGATGGATGGACAATGGTGCTTAGCACTGATACCTCAAGGCAAGAACAGTCATGAGTTTGACTACATCATCTGGGTGGGGTTGGGTTAATTAGTGCTTCTTAATTGCCCAAATGTGTAAGTCTGAATGGTTGTCTGTCGCTCTGTGTTAGCCCTGTGTCAGGGTGGCAGCTTGCTCAGGGTGTACCCTGCCTGTTGCCCTATTTTAGCTGGGATAGGCTCCAGCCCCCAGTGACCCTGATAAGCAGAAGAGAATGAACATTCGCATGTTAGCAATATAGATAGCAGCCTTTACACCCTCAGAGATGATAGCATGGCTGTTTCAGTCACCATTTTGATATTTTCTAATGTTATTTATACATTGGTGTGGTGAGAAACTTACCTTGAGTACAGACTGTATTTGCATGTATGCGTGACTATACCTTTCTGTTTCTCATCAACAGGGATACTGCAAGTACTCTATTTTGTTTTATGGCTACTACAACAACGAACGAAACATTGGCGTGCTGAAGTTCAGACTCCCTCTGTCATACCTGCTCACTGGTGTTGGAATATTTGGATACAGCCTAATGGTTGTCATTAGAACGTAGGCAAGACATATGCGGGCATTCAGATGAAAATCATGTAGAAGTTTTTTGTTTTTTTTTTAGGGTTTCTTTATCATTTCTTTTTGTTTGTCTCTTCAGGATGGCTCGTAATGCAAATGAGGGAGGAGATGGGGGTGATGAAGGAGAGTTCACCTTCAGCTGGAAGATGTTCACCAGCTGGGACTACCTCATAGGAAACCCCGAAACTGCAGATAATAAGTACGCCTCCATAACCACCAGCTTTAAGGTTAGCGTGTGTGTGTGCATGTTGGAGGATTTTCAGAAGGAAGTTTTCATATGTGGTGTAAATAAAATAGGTCCATGTTGGGCATGTCATTCCTGCTGCCAGCAAACACATCCCACTTGTTAATTTGCCACTGATTTCTCCATCCCCTATAGTGTTACAGCGAAGAGAGAGGTGCAAGCATAATGTACTCCACGTCAACATTTTCATATGCTGAGCCCCAATTTAAGATGGTTAATCATAAAAATCGACTTAATAAGGAAAGTGGGGAAAACTGTCCTGGCGCCATTTGCAGGGAGATTTAAACTTCTGAAATGTGAAGGTGCTAAATTGTGTAACTTGAAACTGAAAGAGATTTTAAGTGCTTCTTTATTTGTAATGCAGGAGTCCATTGTAGATGAAAAGGAGAACCAGAAGGATGAAAACATCCATCTCCAACGTTTCCTCAGGATTCTGGCAAATATTATGATCCTGTGCTGTCTCGGTGGCAGCGGTTATCTCATCTACTTTGTGGTGAAACGTTCTCAGGATTTTGCTAAGATGGATCCAGCGTCTCTCACGTGGTTTCAAAAGAACGAGGCAGGTTTACACTGAGCACATGGTGTTCTTTTCCGACACAAGGAGCGATGAAAAGTTGAGATAGTTGAGGCTTGAAAAAATAAATGTTTACATTCTCTCTTGTCTTTTGTATCAGGTGGAGTTTGTGATGTCTCTATTGGGACTAGTGTGTCCTCCACTGTTTGAAACCATTGCAGAGTTGGAAGATTATCATCCCCGTATTGCCCTTAAGTGGCAGCTGGGGAGAATTTTCGCCCTCTTCCTGGGAAATCTTTACACCTTCCTCTTTGCTCTCTTTGATGAAGTTAATGACAAGGTATGGCTGATGTGCCTTCATGCATTAGTTACAGTTGCATTTATACACTGATGTGAAAAGTAATGTACACTGCAGAAGTCTTGGTTTTTTGCACATTTGTCACACATGTTTAGACACATTTATGAGGACAGAAAATTGACATGCCACTATACGTGTGTTGACCAACAGTCACTTGGGGACAAAATGTGCGTCCCCACAACGTTGAAGGCACTTTTGATGCTCGAAACGTGGTTTTAGTGTCAGGGTTACAATTAGGTCATGGTTAGGTTTAGGCTGAGGATTAAGGTTAGGCATTCATTTATTGATGATGACGGTTAGGGTAAGCGGCTAGGGAAAGCATTATGTCAATTAGATATCCTTGCTAAGATATGAAAATGAGTGTGTGTGTTTGTGTGTATGTGTGTGTGTGTGAAATATTGCCCTCTAAACCTCATAGCCGGTTATGCAGGTTTTGTTTTCCTCAGTCAGATCCTGGCTACTGTTCCTGTGTTTGTGCTAAATTAAGCGACAGTGGTATCGGACCTTTAACTCACATCTTAAGCAGAAAATAAACAGTCCTTCCCAAATTCCCAATAATCAGTTATTTTTAAAAACCTGGAAACTACATTTATGTGTGTATGAAATATGCTACATGAACACTGACACCTTAATTTTTCTTTGATCCATTAAATGTTTTTCAGCTGGAAACGGAGCAGGAGCTCAAGAATGCCACTGAATGGGCTATACATGAGTACAATGCCAACTACAGCTCCTACTACAACACGACGGATGTGCCTCCACTGGTCGTGAACCCTGCAGATGCTGTCAGAGGACCTTGTTGGGAGACTGCAGTGGGAATAGTTAGTAGAAGCTTTATGTATAACAGTGCTGAGGGAAACACGTTACAAAGTACTGCATTAGTGTAATTACACTAAATTGTCTGTAACACAATAATCACATCACAGTTACTCATAGAATCACCGGTCACAATTTGTGTTGCACAAGTTCATTAATAACCTGCATAGTTAAAAAATAAATCTCCAAACTGGTCTATTTATCTATGCTAGTGCAGTGATCAGTGCAACATTGTTTCAATTTGGTATGGGTCATAGACTCTACATATGTTCTGCCCATGATGCTGACTAATTTCATTACATGTAAATGTTCCATGTAATCTTGTTACATAGGTACATTATAAAATGTGAATTTTCTGATCAAACAAAACTTATTTGATTGGTATATATTTAGTTCATACCAAGCATATTCCCTTAAAAATTAAGTTTTTGAATAAATAAACATTTGATTTTAAGTATTTGGGGACAACATCACAATTCTTTCTTTTCTTTATGTCTTTACTTTACCTTGCAGGAATTTGTGAAACTTATCGTATCAGACATGCAGGTAACCTTTTTGACTATCTTGATCGGTGACTTTGCGCGAGCTATCATTGTTCGCTTCCTCAACTACTGCTGGTGCTGGGACCTGGAGGCCGGATTCGTGAGTACTCCTAATTGTGTGTCAGTGGGTCACAGTGTCCCGTGCCCTTAACATATGTCCATCTTAGTTTGTTTGACTGAAATAATGTCGTGCTCATCAGCAATGTTTGCAGGGAACAGGCCTCAGCAGGCCTCAAAACTGATTGTTGCTCAATTGCCGTTAACACAATTAAAATAAATAAATAAATAAAACGTTTAAGTCTGCACTTGCACCACTTGTCTCAAGTCCTGCATGGGAATTTAAGGTGATTGTGTCAGTTTAAGTAGTGGTTATGTCATTATCATTCAGGTATTACTGAACACATGAACAGAGGAGGAGGTGCAGACGTTCTGCTTTAATTCAAGGGTTTACCACCGCAGTTCCTAATGCATCTACATAAACCTGATACTTTGCAATGACATCTGGCAAGACAGGTGATCCTGAACATAGAATGAAACAGGACACTACAATGAGAACTTAATTACAGAGTGAAAGAGAGAGAGAGCAACAAATGCAAAGTGTATTGACCTGCTGTTTATTAATTCAGGAGTACATGCAAATCATGTTGTTTGTGTGTTTATTCCAGCCATCATATGCAGAGTTTGACATCAGTGGGAATGTGCTGGGGCTTATCTTCAATCAAGGAATGATATGGTGAATTACTTCATCGATGATTTTATTTTCTGACTCCTTTCTGCTTCACTGGAGATTCTCTAATGAGATGAATGGCTCACTAATAAGCTTCCCTCTGCTGAAACACAGCTCACGTTTCTTTGATCCGCCTATCATTAATGCAGCAATCACAAAATCTCTAATAACACTAATTACACTATTCAGTGGCTGATTAGTTTGAAATTGCATCGTGATCTTTTTCCTTTTTGAACAGTGTTGCTTAATATGTTGTTTTTCTTAGGATGGGAGCATTTTACGCTCCAGGTCTGGTGGGTCTGAATGTGCTGCGTCTCCTGACGTCGATGTACTTCCAGTGCTGGGCAGTGATGGCCTGTAATGTTCCTCACGAGCGAGTTTTCAAGGCATCGAGGTCCAACAACTTCTACATGGGCCTGCTGCTCCTCGTGCTCTTCCTTAGCTTGCTTCCTGTCGTTTACACGATAATGACCCTGCCCCCGTCCTTCGACTGTGGTCCATTCAGGTCAGTATGAGGTTAAAATAAGAGATCTAAGGTGGTGCATGAATATCTTTTTTCTTTTTCTGCAGATTTACATTTTTTATTCGGTTAATAATCTGCATGAACAAGCTTATTCAGATTCACTAGATGATCATTAACATAATTATTAGAGTCAACAATAATGATAACAGTAACAATATCCCCCCAGTGGTCAGGACAGGATGTACGATGTGGTTATGGAGACTATAACACAGGATTTACCAGCTTTCATAGGGACCATTTTTACATATGCCACCAATCCTGGACTCATCATGCCTGCCGTCCTCCTCATGGTGTAAGTATAATTTAAATAATAAGTCAAACATGGCTTCTGTACCTGCTAAATGAAGATACATTTTTACATTTTGTGTGTTTTTAAGCGTGCATGATAAATGTAAGAAAACAAATGAAACCTTTTGTGCACTGCTAATATATTTAAGGTTGCCTACACAATCTTATTATTTATTTAGAAAAACAAATTGTGTGCATTTCAGTTGTCTCTATCTTAATGAATACTGATAATGCGGTGATGTTACCCATACACTGTCTTTTTTGACACTACCACACAGTGGCAGCAAAAGTCAGCCTTTCTTGGAGGAGTACAGTGAAAATGTGGGCCATGATAATCGGAGGGTAGTCTTGGTTGGTCTCTATGGAATGTGTTTGTCAGATACTCACCCAGATTAGGATCTGAAGAATTCAGAGAGTTTAAGGTGTCCATCTGTTCCTGATTTTGTGGTGTGGCGGATCACATTGTCCTAACTGAGTGGCACTGATTTTGAAGAATTCACTTTAGCCCCACATCACAACAAGAGTCCCCTCAAGGTGCTTTATATTGGAAGGTAAAAACCCTACGATAATACAGAGAAAATCCCAACTATCAGATGACCCCTTATGAACAGGCAATGGACAGGAAAAACTCCCTTATAACAGGAAGAAACCTTGGGCAGAACCAGACTTAATGAGGGGCGGCCATCTGCCGCAACCGACTGGGGATGAGGGCAGGGAAAGAGGACAAAAGCAGTACCAGTGGCATCTATAGTTGTGGTGAAGATGTGGTCAAGTAAGCAAACACATTTTACAGTTAACAAACAATCTCTTTTCTTAATAAATTTAATTACTGTGGTCAGCTGGCAGGTCTAGTTTCTGTACAGGTGCTCCTAAAGAAAGGACCAGCTTTAATCCTCCATTTAAATTTAAATCCACAAATAAAACATGTGTGCTGTCCTGTGGATATTTTTTGTTAGTCTTTATCCTTGTTATGGCTCTTAATGGGGAAAACGCATGCTTGTGAATATTTTTGTGGTAGTTGCCGTACAAACATCTCTGTCATCTCTTCTCACAAGCAACAAGTTTCCCTGCAGACAAACCCAACCTAGCTTTCTTGCTTTTTACACCTGGCTCAGTATTTTGAATTTTCCATTCTTCCATTTGTTTTTGTGGCCTACCCCGTGGCAGGTGGCTACAGTGGATACTTTTTGTGCTGTCTTTCTCATATGCATGTAGCTGGCCTGAGCCCTGGAGTGGTATATCTAAGCAGGCAGCTTAAGTTTCAGGAGGCTATTCATTAGCTGCTTTTCAGTGTAGTGGCATTTTATTTGCTCACCCTAAGCTTTCTGGCAAGAAAACCAGTGTTTGCGAACAGTGTTTTGTTTCCACTCTGACATTATCACATTACGTTTGGGTAGATAACAAAGAGCAGATAAGCTACCTGTGCAGCTTATGAATTTAACAACAGTTCTTTTAAACTTGTAACTGATGAGGCGAAGTAACACACGTCATGGCACCCAGACAAAATATAAATTTGCCTAAAATTTCCATGATCAGTGCATGTACATAAACACAGAACAAAATGACAGAACAATATGATCTAGCACTGTGTGCAAAGCCTGACTGTAATCTAATCCATCTGCAGTGGCACAGTAAAAGACTTATACTGTGTAACAGGTTGGCCATCTACTACCTTAACACAGTGTCAAAGGGATACCAACAGGCAAACCTGGACCTTAAAAAGAAGATGAAAATGGTCAGTATGAATTTCTCTTAATTTCCCATATTTAAGCAAAAGTTCAAGATTAGATTCAAATCAAATGACTGTCGGGTTTGTTGGTCATCACTTCAGGCCCGAGACGAGGAGAAGAACCGCAGGAACAACAAGGACAGCACTAATCAAGTAATGAAAGACTTGGAGGACCTTCTGCCAAATAAATCTCTAATACCGCCTCCCACTGAGGAAGAGCCGCCTCATGGTACACTCACATACAGCTTCAGCTGCATATACTGTAGGATAATTAACACCCCACTGACCTGACCATGTTTTCCAACTCTCAATCTGTCTTTTTAGATATTGTAATTGAGAAGGGAGGCAAGTATACCAAAATGAAGCCAGGATCAGCGGGGAAAGGGGTCAACCTGCAAAAGGAGGTGTCACTGGCTGCCACAAACCCCAGAGGGCCAGTAGCCCATCCTCCTCGGGCACGGGGAGGGCCTCCTGGACATCTCAGGGGCCCTCTACCTGGGCCTGGCAGAGGGAGAGGTCGGGGCGCTCCTCCGAGGACATAAGAAGCATGATTCACAGTTACAGATATCTGCTAGGATGGCTCCAGCTGCATATGGAGGAGGAATCAATTTGGGGTTTACTGCAATGATGCAAATGAACACAAATTTCATAACATCATTTCTTATTGGAATTTTATTATATGAATGAAAAGCATTCAATTAGTATTTTCAACATGGTAGATGAGACATCAGTCATACCTAACACTGGAAAAAGTCTGTAGTTACTGCAGCGACTCAGTTAAAAGATACAGAAATGGTGTGTTATCTGTGTCAGTAGTATTACAACTGCAAAAATGTCAACAAACTCTATGTCTCAGCAACTTCTACCAAGGACTCGGCTTTTTTTCCTGTTTACTACAGTGGAATCAGTCTACAGTTTACTGCTGATCTATACAGACGACTGATTTCATGTGGAAATCCCTGTACATAGTTTTTAAAGTGACTTTCTAATTTTTTGCATGACATCTATTAAAATGTTCTATTTATGAAAAATTGCCATTTACGGTGTAACTAAACTATCAAACACACGAGAAGCAAAACTTCAAAGAACAATCTGTTTACAAACCTGTACACTAGAGGACCACCATAGATAAAAGTCATGTAACCCTGGCGGTATATGACAAAAATAAAGAAAGTCTGTGCAGAAAATGGAATAAATATTCACAAAGTGGCTACAAAACATGCAGGTGCAGCATGATCTAATGATCTGACTCTGGCTGATGGTTTAAACAGGAGAAATGTAGACTGGCAGTATCATGAGCTCTTCTGTGATATTCTGATTGTGACTGCCTTGATTTCAGTATACTCCTGCAGTGCATATTCCCCCCTGAAATAAGAAAAACAAGCACTACTGATTAAAAAGAGAAAGAGTTTACTAGTCAAGTTGCAGTGCATTGTTACAAAGTCTCAAAGCAACGATTACGTAGTTGTTTGATGGACATTAATGCAGCAAATGTAAAGGTTAATTTCCTTAGATTTCAAAATGGCAACACTCACAGTTCTCTCCCATTCCCAGACATCTTGAAGCCACCAAATGGACACTGAATACTCATGGCATTGTAGCAGTTCACCCTAGAATTAAAGCAGCATTAGTTTCACCTTATTCCTTAAAAACAGGCATACAATAGTAGTAGCTGCACTATTCCAAAGTCTAATGGGACTTTAAGAGAGGCTTCAGTTATCATGCTCTGTGCAAAGGATGTGATCCATACCAGACCATGCCGGCTTGCAGAGCAGAGGAGACTGTAAGGGCTTTGTTGATGTCATTAGTGAAGACTCCTGCTGCCAACCCGTATTGTGTGGCATTGGCTCTCTCGATGACTTCACTTATGCTGCGGAAACACATAATCTGCTGCACCGGGCCAAATATCTGCAAGAGGATGGTAGAGAAATCTTACAAAAGCAAAAAAATGAGCAGTAGAATTAGACTACGTATTTTAATATGTGCTCCACCGTTGGGGGTGTGAGTACCTCTTCTTTAGCGATACGCATATGGTCTCTGACATTTGAGAACACGGTGGGTTGGATGAAAAGTCCCTGCTGACCCCCTGGAGAGCCACCGCACTCCAGAGTTGCACCTTCTCTCTTCCCGCTTTCTATTAGCTCCATTATCTTATTAAACTGCTTCTGGTCGATCTGAGGAAAAAAATAAACAAAGCTCATATTATTCTGACCTGTCTGACTTGTTAGTTGGTGTAACAGTATTCAGGCCACAGTATACCTGTGGTCCCTGGTCCACGCCTGGCAAGAGTGGGTTTCCCAGGACTTTGGATCTGGCTTTCTCTACACTGCGGCGGACAAATTCCTCGTAGATTGGTTCCTCTACAAACACCCTGGATCCTGCCAGACAGCACTGGCCCTGATTGAAGAACAGACCACTGTGTGCCTGCTCCACTGCGTACTCTACTGCAAGACATATACACAGAAAAGCCACCTTTAACTGCTGGTAGTTGGCAGATTTCTTTTTAACAACAGATGCCCTGTGTGACACGACCCCAAAGGGATTCTTCTACTCCCAGGTTCAAACGAGGGATCATTCACTTGTTAGGGAAAACCACTAAAGTAAGATAATACTACTACAAGATATATCATATAAAGATATCAAATCTAAAAGAAAGATTTATACACCACAAGTGTGACTTAATATGGTGCTGCACTTTATTTGTTCAATTCAGAAATGGTTAGACACGGTAAAGGTATAAAAGAATATGACATTTAAAGAGAGAAATATGACGTAATCAAGTGAAAAAAGGTCCCACTCACAGTCACAGTCTGCAAAGACAATATTGGGATTTTTTCCACCAAGTTCCAGTGTGACTCTCTTCAGGTTGCTTTCACCTGCAGCCTTCTGGATGAGTTTTCCAACCTGGCAACCAGTGACAACCATGTGAGCCGCATGGTTACAGTAAAGGAGTTCATTTGTACATGAGTGAAATGCACAAAACCAGAAGAGAGCAAGCTGTTCACACAGACACACTGTGCTGAGATTTATACTAACAGCAGTAGATCCGGTAAAGGCTACTTTGTCTATATCCATGTGGTGAGAAATGGCACACCCTGCTGTCTGACCATAACCAGGCAACACATTAACCACTCCAGGAGGAAACCCAGCCTGAACACAGAGAGTTGAAAAGAGAGCCACTCAGTCATCTTCTTTCAGTAAGAAATGGACTTGCACCAGTTTTTGCACTTATATTATTGCATAAGATTGTTGTGGGTGATTAGTAATTTGAATCTAACTACCTCTTTGATGAGTGCAGCCATATGCAGAGCTGATAAAGGGGTCTGTTCAGCTGGCTTGATGACTACAGTGTTCCCACAGCACAGAGCAGGAGCAATCTTCCACACGAACATCATCAGCGGGAAGTTCCACTGAATGCCAAAGTGCAAACTCAATTTTCAGTTTTCGCTTCATGAGACTTTTTGGTTTAAAAGATTTATGTGATAATGAATGTGACACAATCAGAACCAATCAACAAATTATCTCAGGTTCAGCTAAAAAACAGGTTAAAACATTTTTTCACCACATTCAGGACCATTACTTTACTCCACAGGTGGCTGCATGTAAACACAGAAAAAACACAAAAACTTGGTAACATAACAGTTGAATGTTTGCCATCCTTTAGTGTTTATTTCACTTACAGGAATGATCTGACCACATACTCCAATGGGCTCATGCCGTGTGTAGGTAAAATATTCTCCATCTAAAAAAGAAAAAAAGAAAAAACACACACAGTTCATTTATTATAGCACTGAATGCATCCAGTTTTTGTTGTGCTGATGGTTTCAAATATGGAAACACGTATAACCTCTGATCTAAATCAAAAAAACGAATTTAACTCACCTACGGGGATGGTTTTTCCGTGAATCTTGTCTGCCCAGCCGCTGTAATATCTCAAGGTCTTGATTGTAGCCATCAGATCTACAAAATATGCCACGAGGAAAACTTTGCCACAGTTTAGAGCTTCTAGTGTCTGGAAAACAAGAAAAAAAAGCACACACAGCGTCATTATAATCCAGTCGTGATGTTTTGTGGAGCAACATTTACTGATGATTTACTTCAGGTACGTGTATGTGTGTTTCTCACCGCTAGCAAGAGCCGGTCTCGCTCCACCAAGTCGGCAAGTCTGTTAAGTAAATGGCCTCGGTCTGAGGCATCCATGGATCTCCACGGTGATCCCATCTGGAAAGCAGCTCTGGCACTCCTCACTGCCTTGTCTACATCGTCCTGTTATTAGCACAAGTTAAGGAGGTTTCCACCACAATCACGCCAGATCAAGTTTATGTGTTTACTTGAAAAATTTGCTTTAAGGAGATTCCCAATCTACACAGCATACAACACGTTAGACGTTGTACAAAAAAGTGCTCACAATGTAATTCATAATAATGCTCCATAAACATTCAAAATTTTTCTTGTAAAGCTTTAAAAAAGCACGTCTAACTTACTAGCGACGTGTAAAATACTCACTGAGTCGGCCTCCTCCACTTCACACAGCAGCTTCTTGGTGGTGGGATTATACACAGGAATCTTTCTGCCACTGCATGACTCATGCCACTCGTTACCGATGAACACCTGATGGTGAAAGATAGAGACAAAGATTGTGTGATATATCCCCCTCACTCTTTGACTTTACAGTGATAAGCACACAGTGTAGGGTATCATCTCTGAATGCTGTTCCAGGTAATTACTGCATCCTAACTGATAAAGGACTGGTAAATATTTCCTATATTCAAATTATTTCATCTTATAAATATGCTTTGCGTCTTGGCTTGCGGCTTACCTTAGTGTAAACAATTTGGGGGTTTGCAATTGGAGTGGGCAGTGCATTTGTCTCCAATCCATCTGCATTCTGGGAATTGTGGTCCTGGTGGTTGAACCCATTGCCAGACTGATGTTCATAACCATTGGCTGGCTGGGAGCTCAAGCTGTAATTTTTTCTTTCTGAAAAAACAAAAAACAGAAATGGAACACAATGTTGTTCAAGTCTCTTTGTCTGATTAGGTGTGTGAATACACAGATACATACACACACACGTGATTGCGAAAGCTAACATTTGGGTCACTGAGTGAGGATAGTAACCCTGTGCACACGATGCTATCCCAACCCAGTGGAGTAAATAGAAACTGTGCCAAATTAGTTATTGGCATTGTCAGATTTTTAAACCGGATGGTCAAGGGTCATGACCACGCACTGACATGGTTTGCTGGCTCAGAAGAATGGACTAGACCTTAATTAAACTGAGAGAATCTGAGAACATCAAGTGCTGTGCCAGGGCAAAATATGAGCAGAGGTGCATTTCACTGTAATTGCTGAAAAACCTGATCATGCATGGGCTCATATGGAAGAAACAAGTTTAATTAAGGCATTGTGGATTTCTGTGTCAGATAAAAGACAGTTTGAATATGTTACTATATCACTTGTATAATTTTGTAGAGAAGACAGACAATAGATTATGTATACATAACTATGTGTCAATATAGCACTTACAGACTTTTAAATCTGG